TAGAGTCGATCATCAGATATTGTCCAAGATTAACCTGCAGGGTGGATATAGCTCACTAGCAGCCTCGCACCGAGGACCTATCCACGTCATCATTTACACAGAATGCTTTGTGTGTAAATAAAATGGCTCCGTCTGTGTCAAAATACATTTTTCAAAATTGCCTACAGTATTTTTAGTCTATTTTACAGTTAAAATACATGTTTATCAAATAAAGTCTAATATTACAACTAATCTGGGATCCGTTTAAATTTCACTAAACTGAGGTTGTTCAAAACTTTGCCACAGAACACCTCTCACAATCAGATTAACCTGATGTTTTAATTGCTGTTACACTATTTGAGGTTTCACAGCTCGAARCCTCAGATCCGCTGCTCAGCCTAGTTCATCCCCTTTAGGAGCATTTAATAAACAAAATACAACTATAAAGACAATAGTTTTGGCAACTGCAAAACTCATTAGGTTAAGTATATCAGTGCTTAGACTTTTAAATCTGTTTTAAGATATAAAGTGTCACTATTGTCATTTTTTATCACCTGTAGGGGGTCTTGCTTTAAAAACAGAGAGAAGATGCTGATATTTTTAGATTATCTATAAGAAATAATAAGAATTCTTATTTATTTCAAATCTGTGAGCATCTGTGAGACGTAACCGCAGTAGTTTTAGAGCAAAACCTGCATCTCGGCGTGTAAACTTTTAGTTTTCGTCTTATTTGTTTTGAAGAGGGACCACAAGGCGGAGTTAGTTTCAGGATTACAGTACTGTATTTGGTGTAAATTATTTGTCTTCACTCAAATGAAACGTCTGTTTGTTTTTGCTTTATGGGACGCTGTCRCACTACTGATCTCACATCCTCACGCACAAGGAAAGTCACATTTATGTTTTTTTTTTTAAAACCCAGGATTTACGCTTAAAAATCACCAAATTAACAAAACCCACCTGTTCACTGTTGACATTTCCACAAGCCACAAACCGATTGTGAATTAAATCATATTTATTAAAAGATCAATGTTTTACATTTTAGAGCAAATTGAAACAAAATGCTGTGAATATTTTTGGGAGTTTAATTTTTTTTTTCTGTCACACACTGCTTAAATATGAAATAAAACACAAAAACACACAAGAAAAGCACAACGTCAGTAAACCAACAGAGAAATATGAAGTATGTTTGTACATTTTTTTGTTTTGTTTTATTGGTGAGGATTCTTTCTTTTTTTTACTCTTTTTTTGCACTTTTTTTCATTTTTGCATCTTATTTGTAAACACTTTGTAAAGATGTACATTTTAGAGGAGTTATTCTTGTAAACCATAGATATGCTTTATAATGCTTTGGCGTTTTAAGTTAAGTGTTCTGTATTTTTGTAACTGCCTAGTTGTTGTTGCTCAATGACATGTTGTACTGGAGGAAATAAAATCAGATTAATCTCGTGGTGTTTTTGTTTCGTGTGGATTAACATCCCARCAAATTCTGAGAAGTTAAATAAACGACTAAATTATGAGTCCTGAAACATACAGGTTAATGTGTGGGAGTGCATCTGTTGCATGTTTAGTTGCTTTGAAGGACAAAGCTGTTTWGTTCTGCAGCCACTGGGGAAAAAAATAGAAGCATGTTTGATATCAGAGAACAGCAACATKTTTCAGGTTTGTTTTTCCATTTCAAATATAAAAGTAAAATTAATCAGAAATTTGTTGGAGGCTAACTAAAGAAAACTAAGACAAAAAGAAAAAAATTGTATAGGTCTTCTGGACGGGTTCTTCTCTAATGAAACGTTTCGTCTCTCCTCCAAGAGACTTCTTCAGTCTGAGAGTTTCAGGC